ACAAAGGATGCTCTTTGACAAGGAGATGGAGTGACAGCACCCCCTGGGGTCGGAACCGAACACAGCCTCCAATGATGCCGAAAGATTTAAACACTGTAAATAAATAAATAAAAGTTGCCGCCATAAGATAACCTGAAAAACACTCCTCTCAAATTAAATTACTCTGGAGTGACTTACTGTGACAAACAAGGCATTTGATGAATAAGTCTACATGTTGGGAGCGGAAAGAAATGAGAGAGGCAGAGGAACAGCAACATGAATCAAATATATTGTTGAAGGCTTTCATGGCCAGAATCAATGGGTTGTTACAGGTTTTTTCGTGCTACCTCTGAGGATGCTTGCCATAGATGCAGGCGAAACGTCAGGAGAGAATGCCTCTAGACCATGGCCATATAGCCTGAAAAAACCTACAACAACCCATGAATCAAATAAACTATAACATGAAACTCCATCCTTGAGGATAGGCTTCCCAAATATAGGAATAAAACATTTGACATCCTGGGCAGGTATTGTCCATAAGAAGAGAAAGTATCAGATGAGTTGAATCAATAGCAAATGGACCCAAATAAAATTGTTTTCACATAAAATACAACTTTCCTTTTTTTAAAGATCAACTTATTTTACACTTATTTTGACTTCTCTAGCTGGCACTGGCTAATATATAAAACTATCCCAGTCTCTGGTTTCTAACATGGAATGGAGTTTGGTATGACAGCAACCTTACACACACATCAATGTCAAGTCGTAAAATTACTTATCTCTCTCTGAAGTTGACAGACTTCTGAGCCTATTTTTATTGCATTGATTATAATTGCTTCACAAAAATACCTTTTTAAAGAAACCACAAGCACTACTACTAGATGTTGAGCATCCCTTACTGAAATGTTTGAGACAAGAAGTGTTGCGGATTTAGGAATTTTTCAGATTTTGGAATACCTGCACTCACATATAGATACATAATGAGGTATCTTGGAGATAGGATCCCAGTCTAACCATAAAATTTATTTGTGCTTCACATGTATCTCAGACATATAGCCTGACTAGTAGGCCTGTTTGATCAAGAAAAAATTTGTTTCTAAAATCGTTTTGTAATTGGGGTGTTTTTTTGTTTCGATATTTAAAATAATTACAAAACTTTTCCAAAAAAGTTTTGGTATTTACGAAATTTTGTAATTATTAACGAATTTTTAGAATATTTTTTTAAAATAATATAAAATAATATTAAAAAATAATATTAAAAATAATATTAAAAAATAATATTAAAAATAATATTAAAAAATATTTTAAAATGGAAAACGAAACCGCACAGGCCTACTATACAGACATAGCGGGTTTGAGTCAGACCCAGCTAACACCTCCCAACAAAGGATTCCCCTGAGCAGGAATAATATTAAAATAATATTAAAAAATAATATTAAAAATAATATTAAAAAATAATATTAAAAAATATTTTAAAATGGAAAACGAAACCGCACAGGCCTTCTATACAGACATAGCGGGTTTGAGTCAGACCCAGCTAACACCTCCCAACAAAGGATTCCCCTGAGCAGGAAGGAGCCAGACTTTGAAGCTACAAGGCCATTTAATCCCAATCAAGCTGTCCAAACTCCATTTGCCAGTAGTTTCCAACAGACCTCTGAGGATGCCTGCCATAGATGTGGCAAAATGTCAGGAGAGAATGCTTCTGGAACATGGTCATACATACAGCCCTGAAAACTCACAGCAATGCAGCCTTCAATTTGTGGCAATCAGATGGTATTGTCTCAGGCGGGCCACGGAGGCAGAGCCGGCGCTGCAGGAATCCCCTCCCCGGCTCACAACCGGCCTCCGCGCGCCATCCAATCGGCTCTGCCTCCTGCGCCCCTCCTCCTCCTCCTCCTCCTCCCAGCTGTGTTGCAGGAAGTGACAGCCAGGAGGAGGAGGAGGAGGGCGCAGGAGGCAGAGCCGATTTTACCCTTACAACCGGCCTCCGGCTCCTGCGCCCTCCTCCTCCTCCTCCTCCTCCTCAGCTGTGTTGCAGGAAGTGACAGCCAGGAGGAGGAGGAGGAGGAGGAGGGCGCAGGAGGCAGAGCCGATTTTACCCTTACAACTGGCCTCCGGCTCCTGCGCCCTCCTCCTCCTTCTCCACCTCCTCCCAGCTGTGTTGCAGGAAGTGACAGCCAGGAGGAGGAGGAGGAGGAGGAGGGGGCAGGAGGCGGAGGCCGTTGTAGGGTGAGCGCGCGCGCGCCATCAATCGGCCTCCGGCTCCTGCGCCCTCCTCCTCCTCCTCTCTCTCCCCCCTCCCTCTCCCCAAAGGAGAATCAAACAGTAATATTTCTGATAATAACGCGAGCAAGGCTCCTCCTCCTCCTCCGTCCCTTCCTCCTCCTCCTCCTCCTCCTCCAAGCCTTGCGGCAGGCAAAGGAAAGAGCGAGGGGGAGGAGGAGGAGGAGGGCGCAGGAGGCAGAGCCGATTTTACCCTTACAACCGGCCTCCGGCTCCTGCGCCCTCCTCCCCCTCCTCCTCCTCCTCCTGGTTGCACAACCGGGAGAAAGGAGGAGAGAGGCAGGAAGGAGGAAAGAAAGACGGAGGCCGGTTGTAAGGGTAAAATCGGCTCTGCGGCCTGCGCCGCTCCTCCTCCTCCTCCTCCTCCTCCTCCTCCCTCCCAGCTGTGTTGCGGGAAGTGACCGGGAGGAGGAGGAGGAGGAGGAGGGCGGAGGCGGAGCCGATTGGATGGCGCGCGCGCGCTCACGCTTACAACCGGCCTCCGGCTCCTCCCCTCCTCCTCCTCCTCCTCCTCCTGGCTGTCACTTCCTGCAACACAGCTGGGAGGAGGTGGAGGAGGAGGAGGAGGGCGCAGGAGCCGGAGGCCGGTTGTAAGGGTAAAATCGGCTCTGCCTCCTGCGCCCTCCTCCTCCTCCTCCTCCTCCTGGCTGTCACTTCCTGCAACACAGCTGGGAGGAGGAGGAGGAGGAGGAGGAGGGCGCAGGAGGCAGGTTGTAAGGGTGAGCGCGCGCGCGCCATCCAATCGGCTCTGCTGGGAGGAGGAGGAGGAGGAGGAGGGCGCAGGAGGCGGAGCCGCTCACTGGGTGCGCGCTCGCGCCGCCCCTTCGCCCCGCCCGCCCCATTTAGTATTACAAAACGGGCGAAAGCTCGTAAATACTCTTGGAGTTGCCGTTTCGATATTTAAAAACCCTTCCGGGTTTAAAAATATGTTTTGATATCGTTCCGTAAATGGTAAAAATAACAAAACATTAACGAAATAACGAAATAACGAATCAAAACCGACAGGCCTACTGACTAGGCATGTAGCCGGGGGGGGGGGGCTTGAGGGGTTTCCCCCCCCCCCCCAAATTCTCATGGTGGTCCGCGAGAAGGCCTTACTAGTACATTATTTAAACTGTTATGTTTATTCATATCATGATCTGATCACCATGCTCAATATATCCCATATGCATGGGGGTATTGGGGTAATGATACAAAAGGTTTGCCTCTTTCACTCAGACTTGAATCAAACTCACCCCCCCCCCCCAAATCAAACTCAGCTCCCCCTGAATCAAAATCCTGGCTACGGGCCTGAGCCTGACGGTAATTTTATGCAATGTTTTTAATGCATGAAACAAAGTTTGTGTACATCAAACCATCAGAAAGCAAAGGTGTCACTATCTCAGTTACTCTGCCGGCAATTTTGGAGTATTTACTTATATAATGAAAATCCTTAATGTATTTGAAGCTGTTGTCCTGCACATGACTACTTAAAGACAAAGAGCACAAATTTATGTAGGAATTACTTCTTTTTTACTCTTCTTTTTGATTAGAATATGCTGCAAGTCGCTTCTAGTGTGAGATAATTGACTGTCTGTAAGGATGTTGCCCAAGGCACACCCGGATGTGTTACCATCCTGTAGGAGGCTTCTCTCATGTCCCCACATGGGAAATTGGTGCTGACACATGAGAGCTCACCCTGTCTCACAGATTCGAACCATCGACCTTTAGGTCTTCAGGTCAGCAGTTCAGCCAGCCCAAGGGTCCAACCCATTGCGCCACTGCGGACCATAGGAATTACTTCAAGATACTAGGGCTGGGCAGTTTCGTTTCGTTAATTCGCAATTCGTTAAAAATTCGTTATTTTCTTTATAACGAAGCGATAACGAACCATTCTGGAGCAACTTAAAAACGAAACGAATTTTTAAATTCATTTCGTAAATGCTTCGGATTCGTTATGTATTCATTTCGTTATCGGTTTGAGGTCGTTTCGTTATTATTTCCGCATGTCTGGGGCAAGTTTTATAGTTGTTTTTTGTTTAATTAGTGAAAAAAATTATAATATCACACCAACAGTCAACAACAGAGGGAGAGGGAAGCTTCAGAAGTTCCCCCTGTCCCATTTGGAGGGTTTTTAGCGTATTGCGCGGTCGCGTCCGCCATTAACGAATCGATTCGTTATTGTTTCGTATTTGTTTCGTTAATGTTTCGTAATTTTTTAACATTTACGAAATTTCGTAAATATCGAACTTTTTAAAAGAAAAATTTCAGAATTCTTTTAAATATCGAAACACAAAAACCCCCAAAAAACGAATCGATTTTAGAAACAAATTTTTCCGTTGTTACCCAGGCCTACAAGATACATATACTTTAAAGGTGTCCAGATCCTCATAAAATTTCTCATCTGCAATCATAAGGAGTTTTGGATAATCATGATAGCTTACTGAGGGGGGAAAGGTTAAATTGCCACAAGAACTTTTTTGGGGGGGAGGGAGCATTTTTTCTGGGAAAACAACCGCATCCAACTATTCTGTGCAGAAAATTATATTTTGTGCAATATAGTGTCTCTTGAGCCACAAAAGGACATTATTATTTTTTTTTTACCACATTTTCACAAAATAAAATAATCTTGAAATGTGAAAAAGCTTTGCAAAATCTCAACACTCTCATTATCTTACCCAGATTTTGAAAGTCTTTATGCTTCCTCACAAGAACAACACCAACAAAGATATACACTTGAAGTCTAAAGAACTTACCTCCACCAGCTTGTTGGCATGTTCGCGGAACACTTGAGCGTATTCCTTCACTTCTTTCTCATTACCGCTCTTGGCTGCTTCAATGAGAACCAGTAATGGAACATTGGTTTCAAGGAAAGAATCAGATATATGATCCATCACCGCTTTCCGGAGCTGTGATAAAAGAAAGCAGAGAGCAATAAGTGACTGAGCATTTATCTATACTCTGTGCAGACAACACTGGTCTGACATTTGTCATCATAAATGCATACACCAATCCATAGCAACCTATTGGAAGAACAGGTTTGGAAGACCTTCATTCATACCCTTCATAAGAATGTAAGAAACTGACTTTGAAAAATCTATGGTTTGATTGAGTAATCTGTACCAATATGAGAAACAAACTTCCTCAGCCTGAAAAATTATTTTAATAACTCATTCACCGAATTCATACAAAACTATCTGACCAGTCCAAAAATGCTCAGGGTAGTTAGGAAGAGCAAAATAAAACAAAATGTGTAAATTAAATACAAAGCATATGGCACTTAGTTAATACCAATCTCTACTAGTGCAAATTTTAATTTGCCTCTCAAACACAACTCAAGACATTTAGGTACATCAGACAGTGCATGCATTGGCTTGGACATTAAATGTATGGATTATTATTATTATTATTATTTATTAACTTTATTTGTACCCCGCTAACATCTCCCGAAGGACTCGATGCGGCTTACAAAGGCCAAGGCCTCAATAAAAACAACAACATAACAATACATATAACATAATAAAGCAAGTCAAACATCAAGCAATAACAGTAAACAATAAAAACAATACATCATGACACAATAAAACTAGGGCTGGCTGAATGCAATGGGTACAGGTTAAAAAGTGCTGAGTATGACAGGTGGAATATAGGATTTTGGGGTAAGTGCAATGTGCAGACAATCTTAAATCTCTGGTAAGGTGCTTCTGGGACATATTGCTGGAGTTTCCTATTCTGGAAAAGCACAGCTTCTGGATGAAGCTGGACTGTCTGAGGTTGAGTCAACATGGGCAGGAAAACCAGGACTCACCCTAAATTGATTGCTGCTTGTCCCTAAAGATTCAATACTTCTGGTGAGTTTTTCAAGAGTTTGCTTCAGATCAGTTGACAACTGGATCAGGTCTGAATTAGAGCAGCCCACTATTCACATGGGAGACCAGTGTCATTACCTTTTCCCTGTGTTCATTAGCAGAGGGAAAGGGGGATGAATTGTAACTATTTTGCTGCAAGACACAGTTCTGTGCAAGGTACCCCATTCTGAGATCAACAGAGTTACGACCAAGAAGAAGGTGGGGAGATTGCCATTCTCCTTCTTCCTGGTCACATGAGCACCTCTGCTGATGTCAGAACAGAATATCCCCAATGCTCAGGGACTAGTAAAGAGCTCTGTGACCTGCAGCAATGCAGAAGGTGGTGTGATAGCCTAGTAGGGCAGATGCAGTCTTGGCCTAGATGAACCATGTAGATGTCAATGCTGTGCCACTGTTGAATTCAGCACATGTCTTCATCTCTAGAGCCAGTCCAGAACTGGCCATAGATTTAGTGGCCAGTGTAGACTTGTCCTGAGGTAACAGATTCCTATCTCAGCCTACCTGAGTACTACATTTTTTGATACTATCTGACCATCTGTCAGGGGTGATTTGAATACAATATTCCTGCTTCTTGGCAGGGGGTTGGACTGGATGGCCCATGAGGTCTCTTCCAACTCTTTGATTCTATGATTCTATGATTCTATTTTGCAGGTAATAATAATAATAATAATAATAATAATAATAATAATAATTTATTTGTAGACCACTCTATCTCCCCAAAGGGACTCAGGGCAGTTTCCTAACTATAAACTTAATAACAAACCAAAATAATCAAAGATAAAACTTAAATGATCTATAAAAACATAAACACATAGCTTAAATTGATCACTGGGTAAAAAAAACACTAGAAACTAATAAATAACCTAATAAATAACCTGAACAACCCGGAATATGCCTGTTCTCGCCACCTATTGTTTTGTTATTGTTATTTTTAAAGCTAATTGTATTGTTTTAATCTGCTTCTGTAAACCGCTCCGATCCAAATTGGGAGTAGCGGTATACAAGTTAAATAAATAAATAAATAATAATAAATAATAGAGAGATGAGATGATTTGCCCCAACCAGCAGACTAAAATCAAATCCAGTATCTGGGCAAGATTTAGCATATCTAGGTGATACATGTTGAGACATGTTAGTCTTGCTTCTCTCCATATGCCAGAGTGCATAATTGGGTTTTTAGCAATTTTTTGAAGGTGGGGATAGAGGGAACAATATTTAGTTATTTTGGGATGAAGTTCTAGAGGTGGGAAATGATCACGGAGAAGGTCCCCTCTCCCTTTCCCACCAGCTGTGCTTGAAACGGGGTGGGACCAAGGGCAGGGCCTCCTCCACAGATTGCAATGCTCAAGCCGGTTTATATACGGAGATGTGATTCTGCAGTAGAGCTGGTGGGGCACAAAAGAGGGTCTACTTAGTAGTTACTTGTGGGAGTTCATTCCAAAGGTGGCTAAGGTTTAACTTTTCCTCCCTTTGTTCTTGATATTAATCAAAGATCATTTTATTTCAGTGGGCTTTCATCCTTTTACTAGCTGCTGAGAAAGGATCTTCCAATTGGCTAACGTGGTAATCCAAAACTAACAATTATAGCAATAGTTTAGTGTGTAATTGTATTTTAAAATAATGCGTCTTTGGATAATTGTGTTTATTCATTTTTATTTGTACCAGATTTATTACTGTCACTTGAGTAGATAGGCTGGAAACCAACCACTGCCACCACCACCTTCTTTTTCTTTTCTTCTTCTTCTTTCTTAGGCGATCCCTTGTAGTCCGAGGATGATGGTCCTCCAAGTTCAGAGTCCTGGGGGTGGGTTCGTAGGTGGCTGTGGAGCCCTATTCTTGACTTGCAACTTCTCCCACAGTGAGAGCATTGGTTTCTAGGTTGGAGGCGGTCTCGGTCGGGGTTGGCTTGACACACCTTCCTCTTGGCATGTTTCTCTCTTTCACCCTCCATTCGTGCCTCTTCAAATTCTGCAGCACTGCTGGTCACAGCTGACCTCCAGCTGGAGCGCTCAAGGGCCAGGGCTTCCCAGTTCTCAGTGTCTATGCCAGAGTTTTTAAGGTTGGCTTTGAGCCCATCTTTAAATCTCTTTTCCTGTCCACCAACATTCCGTTCTTGAGTTCGGAGTAGAGCAACTGCTTTGGGAGACGGTGGTCAGGCATCCGGACAACGTGGCCGGTCCAGTGGAGTTGATGGCGGAGGACCATTGCTTCGATGCTGGTGGTCTTTGCTTCTTCCAGCATGCTGACGTTTGTCCGCCTGTCTTCCCAAGAGATTTGCATGCCATGCCTTGTCTTTGTAGACAACAAACATGTTGACCCAATTACTGCAATTTTTATAGAACTATTAGCATGTCTGACTTTAAACATAAAAACAGAAAATGTGTCATAGCCTTCTCATCTAAACTTCTGGAGTGAGAGAAGGAAGGAGAGGAAAAGCAGAAACAAGGATGAGTACAAATGAATGATACTTAATGGGGGGAGATTATTCATTAGGTTATCTTCCATTGCTATTATTCTAAGAGAATTGGACAAGGTACCTGAATAGGCTGTACAGACTGCTAAGCACTAAAGGGAATATGGGATAAGTTAGAAAGTCTTTCCATTTTAGGTTCTGCATTGGAAGAAAATCATTAGGGCTTTTCCTTCTAAGTGCTATGGAATTCTGGAAATTATAGTTTAGTGAGACGCTAACAATCTTGAGCAGACCTTGAAAATGACAGTTCCCATGATACCATAGTATTGAGCCAAGGCAGATAAAATGGTTTCAAACTGCAATGCTTCAGCCATGTAAAAGGCACCCTAAAAGGAACATAATCCAATCATGCTTCCCCTGTATCCAACATACACTGTAGTTAACATCAGAAAAGTTGTAAGTTAAAGCTGTGTACACTGGTTCCCTAGGCTTTCTGTGGAAGATTGCCTTAACTGACCTCCAGTCTGACCAAAAAATATATGACTTAACTAGACTAATTTCTTGTCACACCCTCAGGCTAGATTGCTCCAAGCCCACTGACTCTGAGTGCACCGTTTTTCATTTTTAATAACAATTATACCCAAACATTAAGGAAATATGTGAAGCCATGACTGTTACATGATCAGAAGACTATTGCTATACCAACGATGAATTATTCATAATTTCCGTCATCTTTCCGGTCACCTTAGAAAACCAGGCAAAATTTGACACTAATATGTGGTTTCAAGAGTGACAGAGGAAAAGATTGTGCTATTGTTTTAAAGTAATATTTTGGCTGACTTTCTTTTCTTTTCTGTTTAACCACTTAGTTCATTTTTGCAGACTTGCCATTTTTGATAGAATGCAATCCTTCACTTCACTGAAATGTGGACAGTTTCTGTGTAATGTAGTCAGGAGGGATGAAAACTGAGGATTCAAATAAATGAATAATAAATCATCATCCTTCCTCCATTTACATTATGTTTTTCCCCTTTAAAGTATATAGATTACAATAAAATATACATAGAAAACAAACAAACATGATAGAAGACAAAGGCTCCAGTCTCTTAAAGTGTCTTCCATCAAGGATTTATGTTCATATGGCCACCGTCTTTTAATGAGCCCAGCAACTTTCACAAAGTCACAAGCACTGGGTTTCAGAGGACAAATAGATTAATCCTGAAATCAATATAACCATGATCTCACCAGGAAACCACAAACGAGATCTTGGGTTTTATCATATAGCCTCCTATGTCCTTCTCAGTGTTTTCACTTCTCAAAGTGGGCGCTAGAAACAATATCAAACAAAAGCTGACTGGCACAACCTGGGAATCACAACCAGATATAGTGAAGACATCTGCCCTTGTGCTATGCTATTCAGCTGCTGAGTATTCATGCCCAGTGTGGAACATATCTCACCATGCTAAAACAGTGGATGTGGCTCTTAATGAGAATGCATTATCACAGATGTCTATGCCCTTCACCACTGGAGAAATTATACTGTTCACCACCTGACATCCACCAGCAAATAGCAGCCAATAATGAAAGGAGAAAGGCAATGACATCTCCGGCCCATCCTCTGCTCAGA